AGTGCCTTCCAGTGTTTCTTCTTTTTGTTCATCAATGAACGTTCGGACATCACTGTGAATGCACCTCCTAAATTCCTCTACTAAAATTAGTTGTCTTAACTTATCATGAGTCATGTCTACCCACAGTGAATGGCACCAATGATCAAATAACTGTCCCTTACTTCTAGCAAATTCTTCATAAGGCTGACTACTGATTCTCTCACAGTTTCTAAACTTTTGAAGATAAGCCTCAGGAATTAGTTCATAACCCTTTAAAATAAGATCCTTAATAGTGTCATAACTTGCAGCTTGCTTTACACCTAACTGTGTTTAAATTTCCCTTACTCTACCGACTAGTACACTCTCAAATAACATTACCCAGTAAACGTTGGGCCACTCAAGGTTGCTAGCTACTTTCTTTTTTATATTAAGCTTATATTTACAACAAAAATTACTCATAAAAGCTATAAGACCTTTATTGAAGGAATCACTTAACTGCCAAAAGGTCTGGATAGAAGCAGATATGTAACAAATTTAAGAAAATGAATGACACTTCTAAAATTAAAAAGCCTGTTTTGACAGTTCTTCTGTTATCTTCAGTTCTGAATAATACAAAGTATAAAATTGAATTTAACCAATTATTTAAGCTTTATACCTTATCCCTACAAACTGGGTCTCGTTTGCACTCTCGTTGGTGGAGCCTAAAAGATTAACAACACATGGTTGGGTTTCCATGAAGACATCGAGAAACTCACTGAAATCCTGAAAAAGAATATATTTCCAGCTCATCTGGTTGAAACGATTGTCAATTGGTACCTCATGCTCACCCATAATGAATGCAATTCCCTTGTCTCCATTTCGGACACTACCATTAACTTTAATTTCAAATTACCTTACATTGACCCTTTTTCTGTTGTCACGCAAAAAAAGGTTTGCCAATTTGCTAAGTGTTATTGTAACAACATTGATATAAAGTTGGTTTTTTCATCTTTCAAAATAGGCAACATGTTCAAGGTGTGAGAGACCCTATCCCTCGTAGGCTCCATACATGTGTGCTTTACAAGTTTTTATGTGTGAGTTGTAATGCTTGCCATGTTGGTGAAACCTCTCTACATTTATCCACATGTGTACACGAGTACTTGGTCAGTGATAGGACCTCTCACATTTTCAGACATCTACACAATTCTCCACAATGTTGCACTCAGATGTTCAGATGAGTGTTTTAACATCCAAGATCACGCATCCACAACTTTTCAACTTGAAATCAAAGAAGCTATCCACATTTAATGGGAGAACCTACTCTTGATCACCAACTTTATCATGTTAACCCTTTAACTCCCACTAGTGACCAAGACAGAATTTCTCCTGACAAAATTAATACAATATCAACCAGATGAGTGATGAGAATATGGAAAAATATTAATTTGGAGATAATTAGTTGATCCAATACTAAATTCTCTGAACTTACATTATAGGAATTATATGGTTGACAGTGAGGAGAATGAGAAATTTGATCCAAGAGTTAAAGGGCTTATGACTTTCCTTGTAAATGCATATGTTGTTCTGTTACTATCGTTTGTTTTGTCCAGTAAGCATTTTGTTGCGCACTTTAAATTCAACTTTGTACTTTGTATTATTCAGATCTGAAGATGACAGAAGAACTTTCAAAACATGTTTTTTAAATTTAAAAGTGTTATTCATTTTCTTAGAATCTTTCATTTACTCTTGTTAGAAGAGGATTATTGCTCCATCAACTACATGGGCAACTGCTATGGTTGGCTAAATGTTTTGTAGATTTGATGCCATAAGGATTGCCAAACTAGCTATATCAGTTGAATTAGTAGGCACATTTACAACATGAAAATCATCAATAAGATGGATAACAAGTTTCTTTGGTCTCAAAAAAATCAATAACAATTTCATTGATTGCTTACATTTTTAACAAAAATGTTCACTGTATTTGTTCTGCTTTATCTTGCAGGCTGTCTGGAACTTGATGCAAAAAATTAGTTATCAGACTTTCAGGCACAAACAGTTCGAAACTAACCTATTGATCATGCTTCTATTTTTGAAAAAAAAATGTTTTTCTCTTTCAGTCCTATTTTTAATCTTCTGGAGCATTAAAGAATGTACAGTCGCATGCTGATTTAAAATGATGTAAATTAAATGTGTATTTAATATTTTCTTTTTTTCTTTTTTTTCTTTTTTTTTTTTGGCACAGTGGTTAGGATCTCTTAGTTAATAAATGATTCTAGTATTTGAAAATAAAGTTTTGATCCATGTGTAAAGTGATGAAATTTGTGTGTGAGGCTCCATCAGCTGTCCATAGAAAGATGATGGTATGAGTGATGTCTTTTAAGTCTCACTGATACATTTACAACAGATAGCTCTGTGTGTTTGTTTAATTATCATTTCTGGTGAGGGACTGAACAAAAAAGTCTGGTGTATAATAACTCAGTCCCTAGTAACTGAGCAAGGGCAAAAAGTTAATGAAATAAACTAGTTTTGCTGAAATAAATGCTAGCTGAGGCCATGGCACTGAGTGAGTAGATCTTCTTGGTATTCAAACAGAACTCTTTCTTATAAATAAACTGACAGATTTTCCCGCTCTCCATCTTTAGACCTTAAGTTAATACTCAGATGAGAAGATGTTACTCTTGCACTCAAATTGGCATTTCATGTGAACATGAAGTATGCATGCCAAAGTTAGCATATGTCACATCTTGGGTATCAGAACTACTCCCTAATTTTAGAGCATAATTTCAGCATTAATTTTTATTACACATGTGAATTGGCAAACTTGCAATTACTGCATTTTTAATTGATTCGAGATGGTGTCCAGGTTTTGAAATGATCAAAAACATGTTTGGTTTCAAGAATTGCCCCGGGCAATCATAATTTGCCATTGGTAATTTACATAATTTACAATTTATATTTCATATTGACCCAACATAACTTCATCAATCAACTGTAATTACAAATGGAATATTGCTCGACCCTATTGTAGGAGTTTCCTTCCAAAGATCTTGACTCTCTCTTTGTTGGTGAAACTATTTACACTGTATCCAAAAAAGAGAGAAAGTAGTTATTAATAGCATTTTAATGAGTACGAGATGTAAGTGGGAGGGTGGGGGGAGGGTCAGAGTCGCACCCTTCCCGTATCACGTTCTCCCGCCTCCCGTACTTTTGTGCCCCTTTGCCTCCTGACTCCCGCCCTTCATTGTGTCGCTCCCGTCTTCAGGTTAATCAAGACAATCAGAAACTGGGTTTAACTTTCAAATTGTGCCAACACTAAACATTCTTGATCATTTTCTGGCCTTTGTTTTGGCGGGGGGGATCATCGGGTCCCGATGAAAGTTATTACAGGTCATTTTTCTTAGTTAAACTAAGGTTCACTAACCTGATTATCACAGTTTGACCATAGAGACGAAATTCTCAGCCCATTGTGTAATGTAATAGCTATTTCAATTAGGTTTTCCATGCATTATCTGGGCTTTTCTGAGATCCAATGAATGAGACATGGAAACCATTGACTGCTGAAACTACCTAGGGAAAACCCGCGCGACTTTTAAAACTTTCAATCTTTCCTTGGACTTCATGTTGTTTTCTGGGAACATTTATATATTTTGGAAGAAGAACTCTCGCCATCACCTCGCACACTTCTCGCACAATGCCACAAACAGTGGATTTTCTGACACCACATAGATTTCTAATCGTTCGATGATCGAGCCAATATAATAATGTTATGGCGACTTGATGACGCACTACAATAGCTTCCCTGTAATTGGTGTCCCTTTCAGTGATATGTGGCGAAAGTTCTAGGCAAAGGCGATTAAATTCTCTTTAAGACGTGAAAATTTTCACTCCAATCCTGTACCCAATCTTGGCAAGTCTCCTCCCAAAATATAAATACGGCGAACGATTAAACTGTCTTTGTGCGTTCCTTTTTCATCATCACCTTCATCGCCCGTTGCGCTAGTAGGTGCATAAGGCTGTCACATTGTCTGTCCAACCGCCTTGGCCGCATTTCAGCTCCTCCAACCCACGTTTCTTTTTCAGCTATGTGTAATTCTGGGGTTTTGCCTCAGCTGTGATTGCACCAATATTAGCAGGATGTTGTGATTTAAATTGAACGCCATTTTGTTTACGTGTTTTTTTTTATAGGCAACAAGCAACGTTAAAACGAAGTTGCGCAAAAACTTACGCAAGTTATTGTTTTAAAATTGTTAGGTTTCGATGGGCTAACGATCGAGCGCGGGCGCAAGGAACTTGGACGTTTCAGCCTCTAACATCACGTTAAGCTTTTAAAGCATTGAAATTAAGACTTAAAGTCCTTCGCCATTTTGGTCTTTCTCTCCATTAATAGCTTTAGGTACATTAATGTAGCGATTTCTTAAGAAAGCTGAAAATTTGCACACAGGCCTTCAAACCTGACAAGCGAGCATGATTGTATACACACGGATGGAAAGTCTAGTAAGTTTTTGCTTCAATCTTGGCTTCCAAACATTGCTTATGCGCAACTAGCGTTTTCTTTGGAAATGATTGAATGAATGTTATAGCTTCAAAAGAGCTTGGTACCGGATGAAAACAATCTATAAATATATGTTTCTGTCCATTGCCTGCTTATCTAGTTTTCGAGAACTGTGAATAACGGCAGTGACTGCGACAGACAAGCATTTAACCCTTATCGTGTCAGGCAGATATCTTGCAGTTATAATGCAATGTGTTGTGCGTAATAGAAATAATTAAACCCCAGATTCAGCCAAGAGGCACCTGAATAGATGTTTACAAAGCAGATTTTTCTTGTGAGCAAATTTACGACGATTTGACATACTATGCCCATGCTTTCAACCTTCAATCCTTTGATCAACGTGTGAAAATCGTTCGACTGCAAATGGTGGAACTTGATTCACGAGTGCACTGAATGTAGCTGGAAAACTATATCCAATCACTTTTAATTTTTCCTACTCTGCTTTCTGTTTGCAGAGCATTGGTTTCCTTGAGTTGCAAATACCTGTATTATGGAAAACGAAGCCAGCGGTTTGATAGACTCTTTCGTGGCCAGACACACTATAGACCCAATCTTACGCTCGGATCTGCTTTCTCGTAATCAAAATGGCTCACGCCCTGACCAAGGCACGATGGGGGCAGAGGTAAAAAAGACTGAATACATCATAGCTTATAGATGAGGAGAGGGATACTGATATTGCTTTTCTGCAACTACGTAGCAGCTCTCCTGGGGCGGGAAGGGCGTTGTAAAAGTCATTCTCAATCACCAAAATTGAAGCCGAGATCGCAGCTTTTCTTGACTACGACATAAAAACTGGAAAAAACTATGAGATAGAATGATCCGGCAAATTTGATCCCACAAGCTTGGTGAAAAATTGATTTCCTGTATGACAAAAAGATACCTTAGGGAATTGCAAAATAAACTCACGAAAATCGTTGTTTTTTTCGCTGTTGCGACTGCCCCCTTGAGGTGCTTTGCGATATCTCTACAGGAAAAATATTACCAATTTTCATTTACTTAAAACAAAAACAGCTCATAGATTTATGAAGCATAAAAACGAGCATTCCAAGCGGGAAAAATGGGTCTGTATCGCCCGCTCGAAGAGTTAGCCATACAATAAACATTTCTGATAATAATCTTATTTTTGTTTCTCCAGATTGCTGGGTCAAACAACATTGCTATCGACTCGCTTGTTGCGGTTTCATATTCGGGGAACATAAGACCTTGCAATGTTGAGTCTTTAGAGTCCACGAACAACAGTCCTCTTGCGTTGGTGCAAGGAGTAGCCAGAGCGACGGTTCAAATGAACAGGGGAATGCAAGAAAGAGAACAGCGTGAATTGGAGCGGGAACTACTTCAAAGGTTTTTTTAGGATGTCATTACAGCAATTTTCAAAGTGTTTGATTTTGTGATTCCAAAAAGGACAAAAGTAGTCTGTTAGCACCAGTCAGGTCAAGTAGCAACGTTATGGGTAGATTTTTATAGAGGAACTCTGGTAGCAGTATATTGTACTGAAGAAGTCATTTTTTTTTCTCCTGGCACTAACAGAGAAAGAAACAGTGTTGTTACCAATGCAGTTGAAAATTTGGATCAACGTTTTGGTCAATCTGGTGACTCAGTGACGAACAGAAGCTATGGCAGCTCTTTGCTTGAATTGGAACAACGCGTGGAAGAAGTGTGCGCCTTGGTGGAAAGAGTGTTGAGGGAGAGAGAAAGTGCAGAGTTTGGCCGGGAAATTGAAAGAAAAGAGCATGAAATACGAACAGAAAGAGCACGGAAGAAGAGAGGAAGGGAGGCAAGACAGCTCCCCGGAGTTAGCATGTGGCCTCAGCAGCCATTTCATGCACTTCTGTGTAACTTCAGCGAGCAGTGTGAGGAGGTAAGTTAACTGAGGGCCCTGTTATTATTCATCACCCGAGGAGGAGGGGTTGAAGGATAAGGGGGGGAGGAGCAATCACGTTGTTTTCAGGATTAGATGGTGGGACTCTGGGATATTGACTGCCAATGAAGAGTGGAGGGGGGGAATCATTAGAATTCTAGAAAGACTTGGGTGGAGGGGAATCAAGTACATTTTATTTCTACAAATCCAAAATTCTCCGTCCCTCCCCCCACTATCACCCTTACGATTTGTAAGGAAAGGTCCCTGAGCACCACGATGAGGGTAATAGAAAATCTTTTGCTCAAAAATTAATCTACATCTCTTGATAGCCGCCTTGTAATATTTTCCGCACAAGTGGCTAAAATACGAGCGTTCCATATGAAAAAGATATGCCATTCAATGTTAGAATTGACCGAGCTATCATTCGCTTATCAAAAGTTTATCGATGTTAATAGGCATGTTTTTTTTCATTTTAGAATCTAAGAGGCGAAGGTTCTGGAAGACAGAGGTAAGTACAAGCAGACTGAATTCTGTAATATGCGCGCTTTTTTGACTCCTTTGGATAAATAGGTCTTCCCAGTCTGGCTCATGCTAAACATTAATTAATCAGTTTGTTCATTAATTAAACTGTTAGGAAATGAAGGATTCTTTTAATACGGGATAAGGCTAACTACAGCTCCTTCTTTGTTTAGAATTGTAATGGATCACCCTCTGAATCACGACATCTCCAAATGTGATGTTTGTCTGAACAAACGGCTTCAAGGAAAACCCAAATGCATTCCACAGTCGGGACAAGATGAATGTTGCATCTGTTTGGAGGTAATGGCTGAGATCAAAGGCCCTGATTTTAGCAACTGCAGCAAAACAAGATTGATAAACGCATATAAGGGTCACTTGATTGGCATCTTGGAGGCTAGATGGCTAATCACTGAGTAAAGCAAAATAACTTCGTAAAACGTTGTGGTATGGTTTAGATATAAGTGTAGCAACCGAATCAAATGACAGGGCTGTGAAATTACTACTAACACACTTAAAGTATTTCGAGCACAGATGGATCGATTAAACAGTTCCTTGTCTGAATGACGGGCTATCATATCATCATATTTCCTTTCTTAGAGGGACTTACAATTGATACAATTCAAATGCTAACACTCTTTGATAGACGCAAATTTTCCTTTTCATCCCTTTTTGAGATCCTCCAATCGATCAGTCAATCAAAGAACTGATAGTGACATCCGCTCCGTTTATCTCAGCACGCCAGTTTCTGTTACCAACAACAGTCCTTTTCAGGACTGCATCAACATACTGAGTACGTGTGAGTCAATTGAATGATAAATGAAATCGTTTTTCCCATTAACTGCAGGACGCCCTCAGTGGTTATCAGATCCTGCCATGCTCACACAGGGTTCACAGAGAGTGTGCTATTGCAATGATACAGAATGGCGTGTAAGTACACCCAAGAAGTCCGCACATCTATAGTGATAAGTGTTGCTACCGGAATAAGATGATTGTTAATCAGTTCACTTTTTGATGTCCAGCCACTTTGTTAGATTTTGTGTCCAAAATCACCTCAATGGTACAAAAACTATTATAGGTAAAAAAAGGTATGAGTCATAGCTAGGTCTAAACTTCTCCTTCTTAGAATTTATTCAGGATTCAGCTTATTCTACTCATTTTTATTTCAGCCGCTGCTGCCCCATTTGCCGTCATCAACATCTTGGTCTGACGTAATGCACCAACCACACAGAATGGATATTGTTTTGAAATGACAATCGATTATCTCATTTATGGTTTCAAAACTTAAAAGTTTTGAAACTTTTTAAAAGCTTAAGTAGAGTGTCTCAATGGGAATAACCATTTGTCGCAAAAGGGCCAAAGCATTTAGCTATTCGGTGTAAACATTTTGAAATGTGTCAAAATCTTAGACTGTTTAGTGTCTTATCTGCTAACGCAGTAACGAAGTTACACAATCTATTCTAGTAGCAGTAACAGAGATAGTTGGCTCCCGTCTCGCTGAGTTGCATTCTGCCAACCGGAAGTGTCAGCTTTTTGCACGTGGAATGAGTTGACAAACAGCTGACAAGTTGGTAAAGAGGAGCAAATGGACAGATTTAGGGTGACAACTAAAGTCGGAGAACACTGCTCTACTTCCGCAGTTAAAAAAAATCTTATAGATTCTCTTATAGAAGTTCGGAATATGGGGTCATTTGTTTATGTAATCGTATGGGCCCTCGGGCAAATAAGGATTGATATAAGTGAAATTAATTGAAAATACAAGTAAAATTAATCCTTAATTGCCCGAGGGCACTTGAGTATCACATGAAGGGCAAATTTTTTGAGGGAACTGTATTCGCGCTCGATATCCGCGCGACGAAGCCCTTTTTATGCCGCCGCAAATGTCAAAACAAATGTAACTGACCAATAGATTCAATGAACATTTTATTTTTAAAATGCAGTGAACAACGTTACACGGCTTCATCCAGTTATATTGCTATCAATAAGTCGTTTCCGCAAACAGCAAAAGGTTAAATCAGCATCAAGCAATCATGTCCTCTTGATCACCAAAATTAAAGTGCCCTCGTGATTAAGAAAAAATGCCCTCTGTCTCAGTCAACTAGCATTCAGTCATTCTGCCCCGCATATGATAAAACCTGAAACATTATACCGCCTTGTGAAAATCATGGATTTAACAAATGGTAATGTTGTTACTTATGTAGAATGTTTTAAGTGTACTATGCAATTCTTGTAATACCGTCACTATGTTCTTTAATGCATATTTTTTTATCGCGGAGGAAGTAAACAACCGATCGGAAATGGGTTTTAGAACAGTGTAGATAAAATATTAACTTTTTAAAGTCATTTAATTCAATGTTTAACATACCTGTTAACTGTGACGGAAATAAATTATCCGCATGCCATAAAATGGCCAATATTTTGACCGTTAGCCGCAAAAGCTTTCACCTCATTGACGCCCTTTGAATCAGTCTCGTACTCAGACCTTTCACGGCCGAGTGGTATGATCTTGATAGGAAAGATGGTACGTTTCTTATCTTATTTGGTGGAGAAATAAAGAACGGGATATTTTGTCTAGACACGAACGATTTTGAACGCGGTAGAATTACAGATGTTTTCCTTTTTTTTATAGGCTATCGGTTAACCCCATTGAGCTTGAGACCTTCTCATACGTGAATACATACGCGCTTACACATATACTTTGATTTCCGTATTTTTGAGGCATTGCATTGAGACATTGCATCAATCTATAAGAGCAAACTAATTACATTAAGACACTAAAGATGAAGTTAGATCATGTTGATAAACCAAAGTCAAAATAAGAAAATGGCAGGTTATCTTGACGCTTTTTAATAATTATACTACATTTCGTTAACAAGACGGCTCATAAAACACGTGCAGAATTGCAAGAAGAACGAGAATGATCTACAGTTGGTAGATCACTGCTCCGGTATCGCAGAGGTCATGGGTTCATATCCCGTACAGGCCTAAATTTTTTTTTTCAGGCCTTATTTTCACTACTGTTAAAGTAGTGCTCATTACTGCGAAGATCGCTTTCATATTCACGTATTTATCCACAGTTCACAAATGTGTTTTTCATATATTCACAGTTATTTATTCCCACAACTCTCCGTACTCTCCGCTTACCTTGTGGCTATAGTATTTACATCAGAATACGAAGCCACTTCCTCCATATTTCTGAGAATTAAACAGAAACCGCATGAATTATGGATAACGTCCAACAACTATGTCTTCGGTGACGGCTTGCTTTATGTCTTAAACGATTAGACATGCATACATAACACACTACCTTGGTTAGGACAGGATTCATGAATCACAAAAGGAAGAAACCTTGTGATAGTTACCTTAATCCTGACGATGCGAGCTGCTAAACATTACGTCACTTCCTTTAAATTTCTGAGAAGTGCAGTGGCTTCGAAGAAAATGATAAATTGTGTCTGGATGACTGTGGAGAAGCTCCCATGCACTGAATTTGAGCGTGAAAATCGTGAAGATTAAGATATCTACCACAAAATTATTTCCTATATGGTCAAGGAATTCATTTTGGAAAATCTTAGTTAACCAAAATCACTGTCTTAGACAGTCTGTTACCTATGCATTTCTTTTAAAATTGTTTTTAAAAAGAACAAAGTTGTTTAAAAGGATTAGAATTTTTCCTCGATCAAAAAGTCGTGAAAAATGTATGACGACTAGTTTCAGACGGATCTGTGAACCACATTTATATGGATGATGTATCATTTGTGCCACTCATTTAAGATATACATATTTTTGGGCTGCTTAACTCGATGAGATTAGTAGATGTCGCCATAATCCATCCATTCTAATCTTTGCATGCATGTTTTGCGAAATATGGAAGCGAATTCGAGAAGCATCCAGTGAGAAGTGCATTTCCTTTAGAAAGTATGTGGTTTATTCCTTTCTATGCGTCTAACATCTCCGGCCCTCGAGTATTCAGCTTCACAAAGGCGAGTTCTATAACAGTACTGCTTTATACAAGTGGAAATAACAAACTCGAACCAAAGAGAATTTTTGGAGTTATCTTGGTTTAAGCACCTGCCAAGTTTTTCTTCGCCTTGTGACAATTATTTTAAAAAGCCTTTTATCATAACTGTTTGGTTTTCTCTGTTATTCGTCACTCTTGAACGTATCATTCACAGACTTGAACCGAACTTGAGCCCAAACATGAGCTATTTTAAGCTTAAGTTTTCCAATTTAGGACATGAATTTCTATTCCAAAATTGTCTGCAATATTTCACTTCTTGCCAGCTGAAGTAACAAAAATTATTGTCCCCCTATAATCGTCATTTCTGCATGAGTATTGTTACGACTATCAAAATAATGTCGAGAGGGCTAGCTATCGAGCACACCACGCTCGATGAAAGGCGCCAAGACTCTTGAATTGTCTTTTTCGCTTTTTTCTTTGATTATTCGGTTCTCCAGTACGTAATTCTACTTACATCCAAGCTTATTTCATT